CCCTCCACCAGCAAAAAGATTATCATTCGCTTTATTGTGGTACTAGCTTTATTACAATGGTATGGACCAAACCTTCAGCATCTCTGAGGTATGCCTATATTGATCTTGCTTTTTTCCCCTTAGTATAGATAGTATTCCTCATTCTTTTTTGTGTGGCTACATAGCATTTCATTGATTGGCTAGACCAGGGGTCCTCAAACTTTTTAAACAGGGGGCCAGTTCACTGTCCCTCAGACCGTTGGAGGGCCGGACTATAGTTTAAAAAAACAACTATGAACAAATTCCTATGCACACTGCACATATCTTACTTTGAAGTAAAAAAACAAAACGGGAACAAATACAATATTTGTATTTGCATGTGGCCCGCGGGCCGTAAATTGAGGACCCCTGGGCTAGACCATAATTTATTTACCCAGGCTTCTATTCGTGTTCACTTAGGTTATCTATTATGATATGCTTCAACACTGGGGTGGAGTGAAGCAAGTGAGGTGTCCAGGGAACATAAGTTAAGGAGGCACCCACTCAGGGTCGTGCACATGCCAGGCCAGCGCCTGCACAAACCTGAGAGTGAGGTTCTTAAGTTTTCCACTTACTCCCCTTATCATACTCCTAGCCCTGCTCTGCTCTTACAAATTGGCTGCAATAAAAATTGTTATTTGTACTTTTTCCCCCACACATTATTGTTGGGAAAAATTCCAGATGTTAAAACATGGGGATCAAGGTCTATGTGGGTTTTTTAATTTGAATGAAGGAAACCTTTTATACTCGAGTCAACACTATAAAAGACTGCCTGTTTCCCCATACCCTGACCAACAAATTGTATTAGCGACACTTTTAGATTGTTGCCAGTGGATGGGTAACACATCAAGAAATACGTGGCCAAGCTAACTGTTTAATAGTCTTGCACCTCAATGTAGGAACTCGTGGAATTGCCTGCAGTGCCCTCTCTCTTCCCCATGGTGGTCACTCTGCACCTGCTCTGGGTTCTGACCAGGAGGTGGTGTGTGTATCCGTTTCCCTTCATCACTGAGGACACCAACTTTGGAGTCAGGCTGGGTTAACTCAGGTGGAACTGGAATCTAGATTTCACAAATAAAAATACAGGAACACAAATATTGTATACTAATATTAAAATATCCATTTGAAATTCCATATAACTGGACATCTTATATTTTATCTGGCAGCCTACCTGGGTTAAAATCCGGTGAGCATCTTATAAACTCTGTGACCTTGAATGAGGGCGTCACCTGTGCCTTAGTTTCCCCATTTGTGTTATTAATTCTGCATCGGTTCTTATAGGAGTGAGTGAGGCCATCTGTGTGAGGGGCTTCGCTCAGTGCTGAGAGCACAGTCCGCAGTCTGCAATGTGCGCTTTTTGGTACTCTGGCTGCAACTCTGCACTGCCCCGCCTCCCGGTGCCAGATCCTCTTTCTGGCCTTAGCTTCACCCTGCTGTTTCTTTGCCTCTGAAGGTTTGCTTCCTTTTCAGCAGGCCCTAAGTCCCCCTAAGCCTTTTATATTGGCGGGAATGTTGCTTTTGCCGGGAAGGCTCTCTCAATTGTGTGAGTCACCCCCACTCTGTGCTTTCATAGGGCCCGATGCTCCTGTCACATAACTTCACATCTTGTGCAATACAACATGGTCATTGCCTTTTCCGTGTTTGGTTCCCCTTCTAGATGTTGAGCTCTATGGGAACAAAGATAACTCCCTTCCTTCTACTGGTGTGGCCAAGACCTAGCACACAGTAGGACAGCAGGTGTGTTGAATAAATGCCTAGCTGAAGATAAATAATTTCTGTTCTTCTAGCCCTATGATAACTGGGGTGTTGTAGATTTTGCCTCTGGCTTTGAAAGAGCAGTGACTCTATTTGGAGTTTAACTGTGAAACTTCTATTAATTTTTCATTACGTTTTATATTTAAAATCCTGTATGAGACGGAAGATTTTGGGGAGCATAGCCCCAGGTGCCAGATTTCCGATTATAAAATGGAATCTTAAGGAAAAAGAGGCAATCATTCTGAGACCTTTTCACACACCTGACCCCCAGCAGCTCTGAACAGAAATGAACTGGTCATTCCTTCCCCTGAGGGGACTCGCCAGTTCCAAAGGCGAATCTGCTTATAACTGTCCTGGAACTTTGTCCCGGGACGCTGCATGTCTCTTGTCAGCATCAGCCTTGAGCAATGTCTTCCATGCACATGTAGCACTTCCATGTACCAAGTGCTAGTAGTATTCTGTTCAGTTCAGTATCCCATCATCATGCATGTACACATCTTATAACAGCAGCAAGGTTGGCTTTAAAGAACATAAACACTAGAGAGATGATCACTTTCGGGGGGAAATAATATATGGACGACCTTGGCCCACAGTGACGAGTGCAGATGACAGACGTTTACATATTTTCTCCTCTGTGTTTTCTTATGCAAACAGGACAAAGCTTACATATATTTACATGGTCTTTTTTCTTTCCTTTCCTAGTATCACAACCCTGTTCTAGTTTTTATTACCTCCTGCTAAAAACCATAAAATCGCCTCTCTGCCAGCCCCTCTGCCTTTGGTCAAAGAATCTTTATGAGGACAGAGTCCTTTTAACATGAACCCTCCTCAGAACACATCAAGGCTCCCACATCCCCACTGCCTCCCTCTCCTGTGTCTCCTGTGGGGAGACATTGCTCTCAGAAGTACACCTCACCTTTAACCTGGGCAAGGGCCAGTCCGAGAACAGCCAGGCCGTGGCACGGTGTGTCTGCAGTGGCAGAAACCCAAACAAGGCTTCCAAAAAAGCTGAAGCTTCTTGTGTGGTGGCCCTTGAATGAGCTGACCCAGAAATGCATAGGGAAGTTCGGGGGACCCTACAAAAAGAAGAACAGAGTTGGAGGACTCACACTTTCTGGTTTTAAACCTATTAGAAAGCTACAGTAATCAAAACACTGTAGTACTGGCATAAGGATAGGCATAGATCAATGGAGTAGAAATGAGAGCCCACAAATAAACTCCCATATTTAGGGTCAGTTGATTTCTGACCAGGTTGCCAAGACAGTGCAATGGGAAAGACAGTCTCTGTAACAAACGGTGCTGGACAACTGGCTATCCACATGCAGAGGATGGCTCTGTGTCTTTCTTTTCTTTTTACTAACTTATTAGGATGAAATAAAAACATTTCAGTGACGTACGGAAAGTCTCAACTCTTAGGCAAGGTAGCTAAAAATAGATGAACACAAAAGTTGGCAGAATTTTGAAATGGATCGATCTGATTACAGTGGCAACCTAACCAAATCTTTCAGAAATAGATGCCGATCAACAGGTGAAAGCAAAGAATAATGACAGAGGGTATCTGTATCACACCATGAACAAGTGTGACTGCATGGGAACCTGAGGAGCTGCGTATTCAACTCCTTACGCTCACAGGGGACGTCTAGGGAAACTGGCGCGTACTTGGCTGTAAAGGGAATCTCGCTGCTGCTACTCCCTTTGTAGTCATAGCTTGAGACGTTCTTGTGTTTCCCTCTATTTCTTTCCCGAGTTATTCCTACCAGTTCCCGTTTCACCTCTGCCTATTTTATGACAGTCTAGGTTCTAGATGAATTCCTTCATTTCTGCTTTATGGTCTTTCTTAGCTGTAATTGCTTCATAAAGATGTTCTGCTTTCCTTTAAACTCATGGTGGAAATGAAATGTTGGGTGTAATTTTCATCCACTATGGCCAGCTTTTCCAGTTGAGTTTTCATCATCCCCTGGGAAGCTGCGCAGCTCTTACCACCGTTTTTCTTGTGCTGTCTGTGCACGATACTAAGCATATTCATCGGGACTAACATGGCGCGGTGAGCATGGCCTTCCCCCACTTGGCTTTTCTCAGTAACGCTGCATGACATTTGAAACAGACGGGTGCATCTGTCATGTACTTGACAAATCACCTGGCTCCCCGGTTTGAAGGGAAGACTTTGTGTATCTTTGGTTCATAGCTCACTCCCAGGAACTAAAGCAGACCCTTATGCATAGTCTGCACTCAGTACGTATTTGTTGAATAAATTAGCATAGAGGGGCTCAAAAAACAGATGTGGATTTGAATTGGTCATTTTAGAACCCATTTATTAAAGTTTTAATGCATTATTATATCAAGTGTGGAAGCCAGGAATCTGAGAGAGTCAGGTACCCACACACTTTTCAATTCTCAAGCTAAATCTGAGTGGGGAACATCTGGCCCGTGGGCCGTTTAGGCTGAGATATCATTTGGTCTGTTCCTGCCAAGGCATTAGGGGCGAGTTAATTAAATGTTTGACCAAATAGAGAGGCTAATTTTTAAGTTGATAATTGTGTATGGCCCATGAATTATGTTATAAATTTCCAAATGGCCCTCGGCAGAAAACAGCTTTCCCACCCGAGTTAAATAATCATCTCCAAACTGAATCTTGTGCCAGAGAGGATACACTTAATATTAAGACATTGAGCACTTGAGCTTTTACACACCACTAATGGAATATAAAATACCTCTTTCTCTGTGTGGGGAGCATTTAGCAAGGCACATATGAAAGGAATCAAGCCATTCAAATTCTAAGAAATTTTCCTATAAAGGTGCTCACACAGTCTGCAAGGCCATGTGTATAGAGTGAAAAACTTCAGTTTGGGACTCCCGCAGCTGCACATCACGACCCGCTGAGATGGGGCAGGACAGTTTCAACTACTCATACTTACTTTTCATCTAAACAAAAGATAGAAACCAAGTTTCACTAACATTTAATAGGACAGTGACTCCACCATCCTTCAGTCGGCACGTTGGGTCAGATGCCACTTAGTCACTGAAATCCAAGGCGTCCTGAGGGAAGGACAGTTCAACCCAGGGGGCAGTGGTTTCCGACTCACTTGCTGATTTGCTTTTAGCATAGGCTTGCTTTAGCAGTTTCCCTCTGCCCGGTTGAATGCATTCCCAGATTCTTCCCTCTTATTTCATGTGAATAAATGCCAAACAACCTCAGCCATTTCAGAACGTGACCCTCGCCCTTGCAGGGATGCCCTGGCGGAAGGAGCAGACGAAGGACCTGCAGCGGGTGCTCAGGACCGTGGACAGCGACATCCCCCTGGTCCTGGTCAGCGGCAACCACGACGTGGGCAACATCCCCACCGCCGAGACCATCGCGGAGTTCCAGGAGACTTGGGGAGACGACTATTTCAGCTTCTGGGTCGGGGGCGTCCTGTTCCTCGTCCTCAACTCCCAGTTTCTGTACGACGCCTCCAGGTGCCCTGCCCTGAAGCAGGCCCAGGACCAGTGGCTGGACCAGCAGCTGAGCGTGGCAGAGCAGCAGAAGTGCCAGCACGCCATCGTCTTCCAGCACATCCCCCTCTTCATCCAAAGCATCGACGAGGAGGATGACTACTTCAACCTCACCAAGTCCATGCGGAAGGAGATGGCAGACAAGTTCATCAAAGCAGGTAGCAGCGGGTCCCCAGTGTCTGGGTGGAAGAGTGGTCCTAAGGGGAGGTTTCCAGATCCTTCTGCCCCTCCACAGCCTGGCGAAGGGGTTCTGATTCAGCTCTGTCGCTCACTGGGCATGAGGCCTGGGACAAGCTGCCTCCGTTTCCTCATCTGTAAAGTAGGAACAGCAAGAGTAGCTCTCATAGGCTTTTTGTGAGGTTAAATGAGAAGAGGCTGAAAGCATTAGAATATCCCCTTAGGTGCAGGGTACTAACGTTGTGGTAGCTGCTCACAGCTGAGGGTGGGGGTCCTGCAGGTAGGGGCACTGGGGCAGGGTCTGAGTGTGACTACATGTGTCCCTGGAAAGGGAAGATGCCAGGGCACCTTTTCTCCTTTCTCTGAGGAGCAGGAACTTGCCCACGGGCAGATGATCTTTAAGAGCCAAGCTTCCCACTCCCTCAGGTATAACCTGGGAAGTCCTGGGTGGGCGGCAGTGGGCAGGCCCCGGGCCTCATTGTCTCTCTTGGAGAGGACCACATCTCCAGAACCAGGAGAGAGAAATGTACATTAAACGTAAGTAGTACATTTACAGTGGTCATGCATTTGACACGTGTGTGCACACTCATAGAGCATGAAGAGGCTCCCTTTGTGGATCTGGTTTCTGGTGGCACTCTGTGCAGCACTAGCTCACACACCTCACTTCCGCCCCTGGGAGCACCTGCAGTATTCCTCTTGTGAACAGCGGTGTGATCTTAGCTGACTCCTGAGGTTTCAGAGAGCGGGCAGGATTCCAGTTTTGACAACTGTTGTGTCTCTTGTTTTGGTCCTAATGCCTCTGTTTAGATCTTTCCAGAGTGCACTTTTTCAGACTTTTCTAAAATGTAAATGTGTCGGTTAGGGGGTAAGGAGAGGGAGGTGGCCTAACCAAGTAGCAATCATTCATTAGAAATTTTAAAAAACCCTGACACTCTTCTTTTCATCTTTGATCACTAAATGAGTTCGCATTCACTTGTGAAAAGTACAATAGGCTCTTCTGTATTTTTGAGGCATTTTATAAAAAGCTTGCATAATTGGAGACATTTTTCAACTGTTCCATGGAGATGAAGTTAGAAAACTATTAAGGTCTTTGAAATTTTGTGCCGTGCTTGAGTTGGTGTAGAAAACCGTTTTGATGACAAGGAAATAAAGTGTCAAGATGGCATCAGCAACACCATGGAGACTGTTTTTTAACAAAAAATAATGTCAGAGAGAACATTTTATGCCACTCAAATGATTCCTTTCATATCAAATGTTAAATGATGCAAATGCCATCCACGTGGCTGCTCTTTGTTCTCTGCTGTTGTCAACCACAGTCTTGAGTGGCATGTGCTTCGGGGTTTCCCATCATAGGATGGAGCACATGCGGCCACTAGCACCCCAGATAGTAAGACCTGTGGATTTTATAGAGAGAGCCCACAGCTCTAACAGGGCATCCTTGGGGGAGCCTGCTGCCCACCGCCAGGATGGCATCAGATCTGGGCTGTGCCGGCCACCTCCCATCAGGCCTGCAGCCCTGCTTGCCAGGGAGGATTCGTTGGCACACCAGGGCTGGCCTGTCATGAGGACAGACTCCACTTGCCCTCGCTAACATCTCCCACCGAATGCCAATGAAATTATTCGTGTAAGACTGAAGCCCTCCCCTCAGCCCTAGCAGCAGTCTCTTCCCGAAGGCTATTATTATTATCTGAGGTTGCTTGCTAAGCAGGGGTCAGGGCAGGGTGTGGGTTTCTTATCCACTCAGTGCATCTGGCTCCAGAACCTGACGGGCTGTGCCCAGCAGGGCCTCCTTGCCCAGGGAGACTCTGATATGTCATGTGCCTTTTGTTCTGCCTCCTGATATCAACGTCCTGTCCACTCCTCTAGGCCACCATGTCTCTGATCCGGGTCATGGCAACAGCTCTGACCTGGTACCCGGGCCCATTCTACCCCATCCCAGGCCATCTCCGCCCGGTGCCAGAGGCCTCCTCTTTCATCTCTGCCTCTTCCACTTCACCTGGCCAACACCTGCTTTCCTCTGACACCTTCAGGATAAGGTTCCCCCAGCCCCCACTTCTCAGCTTTCCTGAATCCCCCACTGGACTCTCATCTCTCGAACAGAGAAACTGTTGTCGTCACCTGCATGCAGGAGGCCTGGCTCAGGGCTCACATGATAAATTCCTCATTAGTATTTGTAGGACCAACGAAGGGCTGAAACTAACACTCCTTCCCTCCCTGACCAACTGACCATAGCCCATGTCCTTGTTTGGCACCGCTGTAGGCCGGTGCAGAACAGACCAGGTCCTGGTTTCTCAGCGCTCCAGGCCCAACCTTCCCGGAGGGTGTTCGCCTGTTAGTGCCCATCACAGGGCCTCTAAGCCTTTGGTCTTGTGCATCCTTCCGCTCTGATCCACATGCTGGCTCTCCAGGCTCACAAGCAGGCCTTTCTCACTTCACAGCTGGCCTCCCATATGTGTGGTTTCACTGTCCCCCATCCCAACACATGGGGCTTTTTGCAAAGCCTGTGAAAGGTCCGGAAGTACGGCCCATATTTGGGGGACAAAGAAACCAAAGGATATAAAGGGAAAGCTTCCTCCATATTGGGGGGGGCTCGGGATTTGGAGAGAAACAGACTCCCCTGAGTCACTATACCGATATATGTGAAATGTCAGGAAATAAATGGGTTTTTCCTGTGCCTCCAGTACTCCTGCGTATTTTTTCGGTCGCCTGGTAAGTTCTGTAGCACTGCCAGGCACCACTTCCACCTGTGAGAAGGCATCCTCGTGGCTACTGCCTCAGGATCTCCCCTAGACCTGCTTACGGGGAAAACCGGAGAGATGGGTGCTCTAACTACAGTCCCGTCAGTTTCAGTGGCTTAACCAAGCCAGGCCCTTTGCTTAAGGGCCCTTCAAACACAGAAAAACCACAGGCAGTGTGGAGAAGAGAGCGGGTCAGATGTGGACGCAGCTCTGGCAGGCCGAGTGACCTGCTTGGTGGGGAAGCTCCGGTGGGTGGGCTCTCCTGGGCATGTCTGCCCTGTGACTCAGTGATGCAGGGGATGGCTCGGTCGCAGCAACGTCTTTTGAACTCATTTTGGGAAGCCAGAAGTCCTAGTGACATTTTGTAAAATCAATTAACTTGAAGACCATGATGAAGTTGGGGGTGGTGATGGTATTTAATACTGCCTCGGCTTTCCCCCACAGCAGTATTATTCCCTACTCCTGCTGCAGTCTCATTTATCTCCTGCGTTAAAATGCCACTACTTAAAAAATATGTCAAAAGCTCATCAGAATATCCAGGTTAGCTTTTAATTATGGTAATTGTGTTGTTATAAAATATCCTTTTAGAGAGCACATCCCTCCTCAAACCACTCTGGAGGTAAAACCCAGCTTCCTCCCAGCAAGCTTAATGAATAATTCTGAGTCATTGTGTGGGATGAATAAATGATTTAATAACGAGCATCAACAATCATCTCACATTGTTGCATTAATCTCTAAATGGATGAGGTAAATGAGGAGGAGGGGCGTTACTACACAACGGGCCACCTTGTGTGGAGGGATGCCGCCTCTGAATCCAAGCCTGCGGGCTTCCCGGCTCAGGTTTCCCTAGAAACGGACGCATTCTCTTTCTCTTTCTGAAGCTCAATAAAAACCTTCTTTGTCTGATAAAAAACGTCGTCAATAGCCCGTACAAATAAAGCGTTATCAGGGCGGGACAGATGCACAGCTGTGAAGCGGCTCCGCTATTTTCTGTCTTCTTTTTGCTCTGCCTGAGGATAATCAATTTCATCACATCCAGGGGATGTCGAAATTGGCTTTCCCCATAATTCACCTGATACCTAGTTGGAGTTGCAAAGCTAGATAGTAGATAATGAAATCTTGGTTGAACCTGGCCACCGTCTCCATCCTTCGTGCCTTTTTTAGCAGAAGGTTAATGTGTGAACCAGCTAATATGGATTCCAATTTAAAAATTCAATCTTAAAAAATAAAAGTCTAACTTTAACTATTTGTGCAATGTCTCGATACCTTTGCTTTTTTCCACTTTCAGCAGAGAGATCAGAACTGTGTAGTAGAGAGCCGAGAGTGAATTTGACAATTATGAAAAAATCTCAATAATTTGTCTTTCCTGCAAAATTTGATCAGTAATTTCACAAAATTATCGTTTCATCTCTAGTATTTATGTTTAAAACAAAAAAAACTAGAGAGCTTTTAGCCCAATGTTATCGTTTTAGAATTCACTTTATGGGAAAAATAAAACATCAAATTGTACTCTAACATCTTAACTACATTGTATTGAAATTATTTTACATCCTGGTTGTTGTTGTTTTCCAGGAAGTGGAATCCCAGCTTAACTTTGTTCACCTTTGTAAGCCCAGCCCCTAGCTAGCCAAGGCTGTCCCATAGTAGCCCCTCAATAAATAAATATTGGTTAATGGAATGGATTTACACTTGATTCAAAACTATTTATTAGCAGAATCATAGGTAATGCTTATGTTACCTGTGGATTGGTGTTTGCCAGCTGACTTTTGGATGGGAAATGCATTACCTAGAGCAAGGGTTGGTAAACTTTTTCTGCAAAGGGTCAGAAATGTTGGACGAGTCTCTGTAGCATCTACTCAGCTGTGCCTTCGAGCATGAAAGCAGTTACAGAGGACTCCTAAGCAAATGGACGTGGCTTAGGATCCTTCAGTGCTGCTCCTCAGGCTGTGTTCCAGTAACACTTTATTTTTTTAAAAAATATATTTTATTGATTTTTTACATAGAGGAAGGGAGAAGGATAGAGAGAAACATTGATGAGAGAGAAACATCAATCAGCTGCCTCCTGCACACTCCCCACTGGGGATGTGCCTGCAACCAAGGTACATGCCCTTAACCAGAATCGAACCTAGGACCCTTGAGTCCGCAGGCTGATGCTCTATCCGCTAAGCCAAACCGGTTAGGGCCAGTAACACTTTATTAACCAAGCAGGTGGTGGGCCTGGAGGCCATGGTTTTGCCACCTTG